TTTTTAATAAAGTTAATAAAACAGATATTTAAAACTATTTTTTAATTAGTAAATATATTGTTAAAATTAATATTTAAGATTTTTATCTAATATTAAAAAATATTTTCAAAAAATGCAGACAAATTTGCCTGTATTACAAATTAAGTGATAATATTTTGTATATAGTTAAATATTTTTAGAAGCTATAAAAAGTAATTAAAAAATCTATTTATAATTATTATTATTATTTAATAAAAGTTATTTATTTTGAATCTAGCAATCTTAGTAAAGTTGTCTGGGTTGCTAAACTACTATGCAGTAGATTTAGAATTCAAATCTTATTATTAACAAATTTGAATAATTATTTAGACTTATATATTCAACTTATAGTTATTCTATCTATTTTTAGAGTTGTAACCCTATAAATTAAGTTGTATCTAATCTTTGTATATAGAAAGTATAATATGAATAGATGATCTGAATAGTAGAAATCCGAAGTAGTAAGGTAGTATGATCTTCAATAGTTATACTAGTGAAACTCAAAAACTAGAGAAAAAAACTTAGTGCTAGAATATATATAAGACTAACTTGTTTATAGCAACATCAACTTGGCTTTAGTAACTAACTAAATTTGTGAGTATCTAATCTATTAGAAAGTACAAGATATTAGTAAAAGTATAAAAAGAGGTAACTAGAGTAGTATGAATACTACAAAGATACAATCCAAGTATTATATATAATAGGCATAAGCTACTTTAATAAATTTATCTTCAAAGATCTGATGATCTTAGTGTAGTAGTTACGTTACCAGACTGCTATACAAGAGGTCTGGGGTTCAAATCCTACTGTCGATGAATTTGAATAATTACTCAGATCTTTGTACCTAACTTATGATAAACTCTGCTCATTTCTGGAGGTTACAACCCTGTAAATTACATTGCACTAATGTCAATTAGATATTGGAAGTGTGATGCAATGCTTGAGTTACATTATATAAATAAATCTTAATAAGATCTACAAGCAGGAGACCTGTATAGTAGAAATTCTGAGTTTAGTGAAGTAGTACAGATTTTGATAGTTAAGCTAGTTAATGCTTGATCCAATAAAAAATCTGAGTATGAAGGATATAAGATCAATAGGTGCAAGTAAGTCCACTGTGTAATACAGCCTAGTACCTTGCATTAGTGGCAATACTAATTTGGCTTGGTAGCTAACTAGATTGGGAGAATCTACTTTGTAAAACATCTAGCTGAAACTTGGAAAACTTTATCTGGTAGATGGCCATAGCAGGAACTAGATTTGTACAAACATCAACAAGGATCTAATTCAGGTGAATCTGTGAAATAGACACATGACTATTTGGTAGGAATTACTTCTAAGGTTAACTAGAGCTCTGCAGCTTACAATACGTTAGGCATATATATCCTAAGAGGACCTAAGCTATACAGAGAATAGATCTATGGGTAAACCAGCTAGCTTAAGTAGTTGATCATAGTAATGATGTTAGTTTAGGATAGAGGGAAAGGTTAATGATCAGAGTATTTAAATAGGTAACTCACAGGTGGGTTGCAGGTATGGCAGCATAGTGTAGAACTAACAGATAGTCAATCATCTATATGGTAGACCACTTAAATTAAACAATGACTAAAGTTGTACATATAGCTTGTTATACACTTATTATATAACTGTAAAACCTTAAAAAACTGTTCATGTGATAGTTCCGTAATAACAAACTAATAAAATCTAATTAGCCAAGGAAGTAGCAAAAAAAAAAAAAAAAATTCATCTTCAAGGTTAACTAGATAAAAACTTTTTTAAAGTAGAGTAAAAATTAATAGAGAAACAAGAAATATTAAAATTTTATTCTTTAAGCAAAAATATCTCAATAATTACTAGACTAAATTTAATAAACTTTTTTTTATTTAATTCTATAAATTTGTAAAATTTAAATAAAAAAAGTTTATTAAATTTAGTCTAGTAGTTGTTGAGATATTTTTATTAAGTTTTAAAAAATTTTGGTATAGTATCTATTTTAATAAGTATTTTAAATTATTTACTTACTTTAAGCAAAGATATTTTAATAACTATCTATTTAAATCTGATTAACTTTTTTTTATTTGAATTCTACAAATTTATAGAATTAAAATAAAAAATTTTCATCAAATTTGTCTAGTAGTTGTTGAGATATCTTTATTCAAAGCTTTAAAATTTTAGATATATTTAATTTTGATAGATATTTTAAATTATTTACTAACTTTGAGTAAAAATATCTTGACAACTACTTATTTAAATTTAATGAACTTTTTTTGTTTGAATTTTACAGATTTGTAGAATTAAAATAAAAAAATTTTACTGAATTTAATTATGAAGTTGCTAAGATATCTTTATTTAAAAATAAAAAAATTGCAATTTTATAAGGAAGTATAATTATTAAATCTGGAGATATAAAAATTAGAATCCTAAAACTATAATTTTTATCTTTAATCAAACTCTTATTTATTAATTATTTTTACTATTAATTATATCAGCCAAAAGATAATATGTTTATTTATAAAAAGATTTTTTGATTACTAAAGCAATTCAATTTTAATACAACAATTTTGTCTTAAGTAGAATTTTAAGATAATAAAATCTTTCTGAAATATCTTAATATTTTTATATACAAAATTTAATTTAGATATAAGCAGTTTATTACTAAGATAAAATACAAAAACAAGTTGAGTATTCAACTAATTATTATTTTATTCAAATAAAATACAATAAATACTATTCTTTTCTTACTTGAGAAAATATAACTTTTGAATTATTTTTTTTTTAAGATTTAAAACTTCTTGAAAAACCACTATTAAAAAAAAATAAAAAAGCAACCTATTTATTAGGTTTTGGATCTATTTATTCATCAAATATTCTTGAAATATTTTACTATAATTTTGAAAATAAAATTTATTCAAGCAATTCTAATGCTTTTTGACATGTTCCCCAACTAAAAGAATAACCTAAAATCGATTTGAATTATTTAGAAATAAATAATTAAAAGTAAACCAAATAAATATTTTTAACAATTTTTACTAAATACCATGTGCATCATGACCATAGTTATGCAAAATAATAATTTCTCTTCCTTTTTCATTTTTCCTTGATTCGATTTCAATTCTAATACCCCCTTTTCTTGAGGGTCTTAATCCAACATAATGACTTATTATTTTCAAATTTTGTAAGGATGCATTATTCCTACTATCATTTGGTATTAATTCAGGAACGAGTCCAACACATCGTTTAATAATTGATTTTGCAATATCTGGATCAGGTTTTTCATTACTAATGAATTAAAATTAAAATTACTATTTAATATTATATTTATATAGCTAAAATGACAACTTACATGTTATTAACTTCTATAGATGCACCCAACATAATATTACCATTATCTCTGGGAATAACATAAGTAAATTCTTTACCTCCTTGAGCATTTATAGATAAATGATTAATTTCTCGTTTAATAAAAACTGTGATGAGTGAATAAACATACCATAACAATTATAAACTTTTTTAATATGAGGAGCACAAGCCAATATTGTTTGACCTCTCGAAGGAAATACATTTAGATCATCTACCCCACCTAATGTTTTAGCTCCAATACCAGTGCAATTCACTATGACATCTACATTATTGTTTTCCATTAATTCATTTATATGATTAATGTAAATTCGTTGAGTTTTACCACCGGCAGAAGTAAATTGATTTAATAACCAATGTAAATATTTATCGACATTGATTGTAACTATCAAAACGAAATTAGGCAATAAATATTATATGTTAATAATAATAATAGTGACAATCATGATGAATACCTGTTGTATAAGAAACTCCAAACTTAACATCTTTAGGAAGATTTTGATGCGGTAAAATTTTAAACTATAAATATTAAAATGATAATAAGAATAACTATTCTTTTTATTATTTTATCCATTAATTTACATGTCTACACACATCAGGAACTACGTTTTTTATCCAACATTCACCATTTTCAAATTTAGGTTCGGATTCAAGAAAATCTAAGAGAAGAAACTTCTTTACACCGGTATCAGGAATTTCGCTTAATGTCCAAAATATTTTGAAACCTACAGCTTGAAATTCTAAAAAAAACAAGTTATTTAAATGAATTCAAAAGTAAATAGTGATAATAATGGTTGTTACCTTGTAATCTTTTCTCAAGAATAAGACTTGGAAGCCAACCGGCACCAGCCCAAGGACTAGTATAATTAATACTTAAATCTCCAGGAAAATGTTTAGCAAGAATCTTAACTTGATAACCATTTCTTTGAAGAAGTAATGCAGAGGTAAGGCCAATAACACCGGCACCAATTACATTCACCCTGGCATTTTTTGACATTTTAATGGCTAGAGAATTTAATAAGGTCATTGGCCCTCTTCAAAGTGAATTTACTAGTAGTTTGGTTTGATGTACGTCAGTAATTGCATATAAATATATATAATATATATATGTATATATATGCAGTAACTGCATATACTGTACGTATTGATATACAGTTGCCCTTGACAGGGTGGACATGTCCGTCGATCGATAACGATAATGTACATTGTTCATCTCTATTAACGTTAAGCATCACTAACGCTAACTCTTTTTTTTTATCCTGATCGAAATTTCATTCAGTTTCTTATGATTTCTACAATTTACATACTTTATTATGGCCATGGGTTCCTTCTCTGAGTGTATAATGGATGCAACAACTTCTACAATTAGGGTACGGAATGGGCCGGGCCGGGCCTGGGCCTAATTCGGGCTCATATTTTTGAGCTTGTTATTATTTGGGCCGGGTTCAGGCTGGGCTCGATAAATACTGGGCCAGAATTGGGCTTTGTGAGAAAGCCCAATCAGGCCCAATAATACCCGGTAAAAACCTCTTGTCAAATTAAGATCATGTAGATTGACTAATCAAAATTGAGAATTTTGAATCAATAGAGGTTAGGCCAGACCAATTGGATTATGTGTTTTACATTACCCCCCTCTCCACTTTGAGAGAGGGGGGGGGGGCTAACGGGTTTACATAGTAAAATTTTAAAAAAAAAAATTTTCAAAAAAATTTTTTTCCGAAATGTTCCGTAACTATAAAAAATTTTTCCGAAATAACCCATGTTCTATATATATTTACCAAAAATTTTTTTACTATGAGGGAGAGGGGGGGGGGGGGGGTAATGTAAAACACATAATCCAGTTGGTCTGGCCTTAGCTTGACTATATGCTATTAACGTTAAATTCTGATCTCTTGAATATATTGCTTAATTCCGGGCCTATTTAGTTGTACTGGACAAGTGATGTAATGTTGTAGCAACATTCGGTGAAATTATTTCTATGACTATAGACAGGCCTACCAAAAAATTAATTGCAATTAATTTTTGTCATATGTCATACAATTAAAATCAATTAAAATTATCATAAAATTAATTGAAACCCAATTAATGACGAAATAATTGCTATTAATTGCAATTAAATCAATTTTCTTTCATTATATCGTTACATTACTCAAGTTTGGTGCAATAACTAGATTAACGCCTATCATGAGCAGTGAGCTTTTTTCAGTTATGTGAATAATATATGTGTAAAGGGAAAAATATATGCTTTGAGCCATTATATTATGTTTAAATAATATACAGTATATCGGTGATTAAATATTCAAAGTAATGTATTAAGAACATAACTTTAAATTTTATACTTGCGTTAGAATTTTATCGGAGGTTTGGTAAGAAATATACATGTGTGCCTAAATTATTTTTGAAAAAAATATTCTCGGCAAACATTTCGGCATTGCTAAATTTTTTATATGAAACCCTCAGAAATGACTATACTATATGATGTATTTTGATGAAAAGAGTTCAAAAAATTTCGGCAATAATTTCGCTATATATGAAAATTAATTTCGGTACTATATAAGACTAATTTCGGCTGCATAAATGCCGTAATTACTTTTTTATTAAGATAGGCAATTTAGGCACACATGTATAGTAAGAAAAGCTACAGTTGAGAATAATATAAGCGATTAATTTATAATATTTAGCAGTAATTATATGTGGAAAGCTTCTATTGAGGTGTAAAAGACTTGCTTTGAAAGTCAAAGTTGATCTTGAATGGGCAAATCGCGAATTTTTGGGATTTTCTGCGCAGCCTGCGCATCCTGCGCATATATCATTTCAGCTGCTGCTTTACGACAGATTCTCGATTTTGATTGGCTAACGGCTATGATCCACAAAATTTTGGCTCACGTTACATAAATTATGTAATTTTCGGCCAGAATTAACTTTTTTTTTTATTCAAAAATAGAAATTGAGAAACTAGGCCTGCTCTATGCAAAATTAACCCAGATATAATTTTCACTTAATGCATAACTGCGATTCATTAGTAAAATTTGAGTAATTTTGACCTATTGTCGCTCTTAGCCAATTACAAAAATCAGTTGTAACAATTTTAATAGGCAGCTAGGTATATACGAAATATTTCAAGATACCTTACTCATAAAAATACTAGTAAAATTATTTAGTATTTATTACTTGTAGTCTTATTTCGATTTTGTATATAAATATAAAAAAATATCAAGCCCGCATTATGCAAGCTGGCCAGAATTATGCTAGCCGGTCCGAGTTATAAAAATTACACTGCGCAGTCTCTCAAAAATTCTGCGCAGCCTGCGCAGTAAAATAATGCGCAGCCTGCGCAGTGGCCCATCCCTAATCTTGGTGCAGTTATTAAGTCTTATAGTAAGTGTCTTTGTTTTACGGTATTTTTATTTTTTAATCTAATTCAGGGTTTAGTATTATAATTATTTATCTTTATCTTTTTAATTTTAGTTTGCTATGTCTGTGTTTCGATTTATGAAATCTTTATTGGGCCACGGTTAATATTTCAGGTTATTTACTGTATTGGTTTTGATTAGGTATAATTATTAAAGTTAGCATTGTTATTTATTATTGTTAGGGAGAGTATTTAGGAAGGTCGCCAATATGACCTGACCGAAGTATTACGGAAAGATATAAATGAGGCTAGTTATTATTATTATTTGTTGAGTTAAAGTATTTTAATGTAAATTTTTTTAATGGGATAACGGATTTTACACAGGAAATGCTATTTACGTGTTATAGTTGTATTGGGTAGCCAGTTAAGTTTTTATAAAATTTGCAGTTCGAATATTCATTGCTACAAATAATATTGCTTTTTATTGTTTTTTAATATTATTAATTATTGTATTATATTTTTATAAGTCAATAACGTGTATAATAACATGATTCATTTATTGTAATATTTATTTCTTTTTATAAGTATCGTATATAGGCATATGTTAAGAATCATTTTAAGTTAGATAACTTGATAAGACAATTATTAGTTAGCTTCAATAACTTGGTAAATAGTTATTAATTGTTAGTGGCTATGAAAATATTTAGAGCTAAGTAAATATGGTCTAAGGCTCAAGTGTTATTACGATGTTTCTTGTATGAAATAATTAACTTTGGAGAGGTGGACTTTAATGTAAATATAATAACTGTAGTTATTGTTATATAGCTCTCAAGAAATATTTTAACATATAGTCTATTACTCTAGAACTTTTACGATTTAAACTCTTTATTTGGATAAGTTTTTTTCTATTTTACTCTAATTTTTTTCAATGCCAAAACTAACTTTTCTTTAATAATTTTTAGCTTTTATATTTAATCAGGCATTTTATCATTATATATTATTATTTTAATAATTTTTAGTTTTTATATTTTTTTTTTTTTTTTTTCCTTTGATAGTCTCATCATAAAACTTTATTAGGTTGTTAACATGTAGTTATCCTACTAGTTACATATTAAACTTTACAGAAAAATTCTACCTAATTTTCTAAGCTTGACATTACCTGGTTACTTCTAAGAGTGCCCAAGTATGACCTGTTGCACTGGTTATTAGGACCAGAACCACGATATCAGACTGCCAAAACCAGGTTCCTCCTAATCTAACTAAAGTTAAATTAAAAGATATTAATACCTAGCAGCAGGAAAAAATAAAAATTGTTACTAATCTAAAAGTGCTAAGCTTACTAACAAAGAAAAACTTGCTCCAAGTCGTAAAAACTTTGTTAAGCAGTAACATAATAGAAGAGACAGAAAATAAAAAGGTAACCAAATACCTTATAACCTGGGTCAGACTTAAAAATTTTAAGTTGTGTAACTTATAACCTATCTTGAATATATCTTTTTCTAACGTACAATTTATCCTTAAAATTTAGGACTTGTAGTACCGAGGTTATATAACAGACTAAACAAGTAAACAAAGTACGTGACTTTGTAAACACAAAGTACGTGACTTTGCCAAATAGAGTACATAGCTTTGTTTACTGCACGAGGTCATACATTCATAGAGTTTTTCTAAAAATAGAAGGAGTAAATAGTGCTGATCTTTTGGAAGGAGGAAACTAAATTTCCCACTTTTTGTTGAAAAAAAAGAAGACCAGAAGAAAAAGCTTGCAATATATTATTATTTCTCAAGTTTCAAAAGAGTGTGTAGACAAAATAATTTATTGTCCTCTATTCTTAAGTCTTCTTTTACCAACTTCATCAACAAAGAGCTCTTTTTCATCTCTTTACTAAAATTTTTTATACAAAGACTCAACCTGCTAGTTATCTTATATAATATCACTTTTAGCTTGCATATTGAATATACAAAGAGTCCCTGAGAGAAAGCAGTTGACCTCTGTAAAAACCATTGTATTGTAAAAGAAACTTCTTCGTCTTCCTTAATAAATTTTTGTTTTTTGCTTTTTCAAATTTTTAGAAAAAAAGATTATCAGAAAGAGTTCTTATTTTGGAAATTGAGTTTTTATATTTAATTAAGCATTTTATTATTATATATTATTAAATTTTACTATTGTTATTTTATATCTTGTTATGCTTTGCAAGACATATACTTCTACAGATTAGTTATTAATCATCTTTTATATTATTTTCTACTATTGGCTTATAATATTAGGATGTTTGATAATTAGCATATTTCAAAAATAAGTAGGAGTTTAAAAAACCTCATCTGTATTTTTAAAGTTCAAAATTAGAAATGAAATAAGAGTGTTAGAATTATGAATCAGTTACAAATATATATACAGTTAAAAATAAAATATAACTTGTAAGTTACTTGTTTTAAAATAAATATGTCACTTATTTCATTTGAAATCAGATATTGAATCAATAATTATAAGATTCTCTATTATCAATATTTCACTTAACCATCCTATTATATTAGCAAACCTTTTATTTATTTCTGTTTAATATACAACTTTCTATAGTACTATACAAATTAGTATTAATCATATTCTCTTATTAATATAAGGGTTAACCAAAAACTGTATTATA